TCCTCCCCTCCTTCCTTCTCCCTTCCTTCCCTCACCCCCTCGCTCACGACGAGGCAAAGGCGCCCTCCAGGAGAGAGCAGATGACGCCCTCCACGGCCGACGTGACGAGGCCCTTCAGTTCGCCGAGGAGGGTGTTGGCGAGGATGTTGTAAAGGGGCGTGTCCAAAGGCCCCGCCCCCTTTTCCTTGAAATGTAGAGGGCTGGAGATGGAGAAGAATATTTGCATATATTATCATTATCATCATTATCACTATCATCGTTATCATCGTTATCATCTTTAGTATTAACATTATTATTATCATTAAAATACTAACAACAATAATGGTATTTTTTTATACAGTCATTATCGTTACTATCATTACCATCAGAGCTAGCATCATTATGATTAAAATTATTATAGATCATTATTGTTAATGGACCATTATCACTGTTCTCATTGAGCATTAAAAATCACAATCACTATCATCACCATCATAACCATCAGCAACATGCCAATAATCACTATCACTATCATATTCACTGTAACACAGCAGGGTTCGGAGGACTGTAGTGTGTATATAAGATGTAAACAGACACCATCATCATCATAATTATTGTCATTCTCATCCCCATCACTATCCTCACCATCACCCCTTTACAGCCCTCACCCTCACAATTCACATACTCACCACCATTCACACCCATACCACTATCATCGTATGCCTCACTATCCCATTACAATCATCCCTTTCACCATCACAATCACCATTATAACAATCACCTTTCTCTCCCTCGTCATGCTCAACACCATCATCACCTTCACTGTCACCACCCTTGCCAACATCACCATCTCCATCCCTATCCTTAATACCCTCACCATCGTTATCATCCATACTATCCCCCCCCCATCTTATCCACCATCCCCCTCCCCTCACTCCTCACCCCTCCTACCCCTCCTCCTCCTCCCCCCCAACCCCCCCCCTTCACCCCTCCTCCACCCCCTTTCACACCTCCTCCTCCCTCCTCCTCCTCCTCCTCCTCCCCCCTCCTCCTCCTCCTCCTCCTCCACCCCCTTTCACTCCTCCTCCTCCTCCTCCTCCTCCTCCTCCTCCTCCTCCTCCTCCTCCTCCCCCTCCTCCCCCTCCTCCCCCTCCTCCCCCTCATCCCCCTTCACCCCCACCACCACCCCCCCCCTCCCCCACCTCCTCCTCCTCCTCACCTACCCGAGTTCGGTGATATTGCAGTGCGCGAAAGTCACATTCGCCTGATGAAGGAAGACGTCCGTTTCGAAGCTCAGATGCACGTAGGACATCTTGAGAGAGAGCCCGAGGTCCTTGCCGAAGAGAGCGAGGACGAGGCCGAAGGTGTAGTCCGCCTGGGGAGGGAAGAGAGAGGGGAGGGGAGGGGGGGTTAGGTGGGTGGGAGGGAGTGTAGTGTGAAGTAGTAAGTAGTAAGATAGATAGATAGATAGATAGATAGATAGATAGAGAGAGAGAGAGAGAGAGAGAGAGAGAGAGCGAGAGAGAAAGAGAGAGAGAGAGAGAGAGAGAGAGAGAGAGAGAGAGAGAGAGAGAGAGAGAGAGAGAGAGAGAGAGAGAGAGAGAGAGGGAGGGAGAGAGTATCTGACACATGTATTGTGTTATTAGTACAAGTATATAAACATGATATGAATATATGCATGTGTGCATTGAGAGAGGAAGAGAGGGAGGGAGGGAGGGAGGGAGAGGGAGAGGGAGAGGGAGAGGGAGAGGGAGAGGGAGAGGGAGAGGGAGAGGGAGAGGGGGAGAGAGAGAGAGAGAGAGAGAGAGAGAGAGAGAGAGAGAGAGAGAGAGAGAGAGAGAGAGAGAGAGAGAGAGAGAGCGCACAGAGAGAGAGAACAGAGAGAAAATTGACCGAGAAATAGAGATAACAAAATAAAAAATACAGAAAGAGATAACAAGAACGAAAGAGAAAATAAAATGTAGAGACAAAAAAAAACAAAAAAAAAAAAAACGAAAAGATACAAACCACACTCAACATCCGGACTACGTAATGACTTGCAAATCACATACCAATATATCAATCGACGGTAAATTTGCTTGGAATGAATATTAAAATCGATAACTGTACTGATAGACACCACAAAGGCACCAACACGCTATAAACAGTATATAAAAAGCGTATTGTTAAAACTATCAGAACGACTGTTACATTGTCGTTTGAGTCGCAGCTTGTGATATCGTTGAATCTGTTACGTTGTACTAAAAAAATTGTAGTTTAATTTGTTTTAATGAAAGAGAGTAGCCATTTTTTATATTGAAAAGACTGAAATGGCAAGAATTATCAAGTGATTTTTCAACTATCAGTCCGTGTTCTTTCTCTATTTTAAATCTCATATGACCGGATATGGCAACACTTACCTCACTTTTTTTGCGCACAATATTTATGGCTATCTAAAAATACTATGTAGAAATAAACTTTGTAGACACGCGTACACCTTTTCTCAACACACCTTTAAAATATATAGAGAGAGATCGTTTAT